ACTGAGAATTCACCATTGAGACCTACCAACAGCTGTTCTAACTGGACAGCATGATGAGTCCCACCTTTACCACATGTACCCAATGTCATGTTCCTCCCAGCCCAAGTCCTCAATGCATGCTCCTTCAACCACACAACTGGATGCCTGGCCTTAAATTTAAGACAAGGACAAACTGTCTTGTGCCAGAACACCTGCAACAGAACTTCTTGCTTGTCCAACATGCCCCAGTGCCATCTCCTCCTCCACCCACTGTAAACTTCCTAAATTATGATTCTGCCAATGGCTCCCTAATGGCTTTGCTCAGCTCATTTCTTCTTGGTTTCTGCTTCTTCCCACGCTATCTTCTCAGCTCACTTCTAGCTATATTTTTGCCAGTACTCCATCCCACTTGTCTATCATGTCCTACTTACCGACAACCATCTCTAAATGCACACACAACAGTTACAACAGAAAGGAGTTCTTTCCCCCTACACTCATGAATAAGAAAAAAAGAGCACCCCGTATTTCAAAGTGGAAACATGAATGTGTTTTCTTTCCTAAACTCACTTTCAGTACTACTACATAAACACATATTCACACTGAGGGCGAAATGAGCTTCTATACCCAAGCACAGATTCATAATCACATGTTTTTGCATGAAAAAAAGGGTACAAGTTTAAAACACCCAAATTAACAGCCATAGGGTTGTCAGCGGGTATTTCTCAGGTAAGAAAAATTAAGCAAATTCTTGAATTGATTGAAAACTATTAATGCATCTGCTAAATACATAATGTCCATTATACGTCTTTTATTTATTTAAATGTAGACTAAGAACAAAACAACACAAAAATACATAAAATGACTTCAGGAAAAGGCTTCAAATTGGATTTTTGGGTGTAATAGGTGCTTCCTATGTCAACGCCCTCTACAGAAAAACTTCAGATGTTTAATCCTTTAGAAAATCTTTCAAGATGGGTGCCAGTGTCTATAATCTGAGCAACTCAGGAGGCTGAGTTCTGAGGATTGTGGTTTGAAGCAAGACAGAGCAAGAAAGTCCAGGAGACTTTTATCTCCAATTAACCACTAAAAAGCTGGAAGTGAAGCTGTGGCTCAAGTGGTAGAGCAAAAAAGTTCAGAGACAAAGCCCAAACCCTGAGTTCAAGCTCCAGGACTGTCACAGATACACAGACACACAAATGCACAAGCAGACAGCTTTCAAAAGTTACCAATCAGTCAGGTGATGGTAGCTCACTTCTGTAATCCTAGCTACTCAGGAGGCTGAGATCTGAGGATCGTGATTAGAAGCTAGCCTGGCAGGGAAGTCCATGAGACTCCAATAAACTACTCAAAAAAGGCTGGAAGTAGTGCTGTGACAAGTGGTAGAGCATTTGCCTTAAGTACAAACAGGCTCAGGGACAGCGCCCAGGCCCAGAGTTTAAGTCTCAGGCCTGGCAAAAAAAAAAAAAAAAAAGTCACCAATATTCTTAAGTTTATTGTAAGCTTTGTCTAGTTAAAGTTTCAACTTTTCAGGCAAAGCCTGTTTTGCACATTTTGAATTGGTAAAGTATTAAAAACAAGTAAAAAAAAAAAACCTATTGCAATGTATCATCTGACTTTTCATGTGCTCAGGTAGATGAGAATCCAAAGGAAATAAGACCAAGCCTTTAAACATACATACCTACTTAAATTTTCTTAACTAGGGAATATTATTCCAAGAATTTACATTAGCTAAACAGATCTCTATAAACGGCCCAAGAGAAAAACCCACCTCAATCCATTCAATTCAGTGAAGCATTCCTGCTGGGGACACTAGGCTTTCACTCCAAAATGGCAAGTGCCATTCTGTGATCTTTAGGAGAGGAGGGAGAAATCACTGGAAGCGGTTTCTTACCATTCTCACTGGGCTCTGCAGGCTTGGACACTTCTCTGAACGGGATTATAACTGCATCTCCAGGCACCCTGGGGCTTTCCACATACTTGGGCTTCCTGACCGGACCTGCAGTGGGAAAGATCTGAATGTGGCTAATTTTTTCCAGATGCAAGCAAAGCTTCAGAATATAGTGTGTGTCCTGACCGGGACACAAATATGCCTGAAGGAAGAGCCAGCCCCTTCCCCTCCCTTGAACACACACAACCAGTTCAGGGCAGACCTGGAATGTCCAGTCCCAGCTGCCAGTGAAGAAAAGGGTAAGCTGGGTTTGGAGAATGTAAACTCTGACAGAAACAAAAGCTGTTGTTCTGCTGTGAAGCCTCCACGGCTGTCTTTCACTGTGTAGCAAGTAGGTGATTTTGACATGTTCAAACGTGGATGGCTTGTGGCTAACAGTATTTTTTTACACCATTTTCTTCGAACTGGGATAACAATGGCTTGGTTGCTTGGTATCTCCTAAGTCTAGAGGTAAGGATTACAACTAGCCAGGCTGTACCAGCAACACGATGAGCAACCATTGAACATAGGCAATTTATCAGGCTGGTGATGCACACGGCTCAGAAGTCGACTGTCTTCTTGGCAGCTGAAACAGCTGCCTTCAAAAGGGGCGCGGCAGTCAGCCCAGCACATAATTCAGGGACACAACCTAAGAGACTGAGAGTCTTGTCTCCCTCCCTCAACCCTGCTATCATCAGACAATCTGGAATTCTAATGAGATTGAAAGGAACCCTTTTGCTGCTAGTGCTAGAAATGGACAGAGGTACAACCGCTTTGGAAAGCAATTTAGCTTGCTTAAGACTCATTACAAAGTTACCAGACAGCCCAGCAATTCCACTCCTGTGTGAACCCTGAACACTGGTGGCTCACAACTATAATTCTAGTCACTCAAGGGCCTGAGATGAGGATTGCAGTTCAAAGCCAGCTCAGGCAGAAAGTCCCTGAGACTCATCTCCAATTAACCAGCAAAAAACAGAAGCGGAGCTGTGGCTCAAGTGGTAGAACACCAGCCTTACGCAAAAAGCTAAGGGACAGCTCTCAGGCCCTACGTTCAAGCTGAAGAGCAGTGCGCGTGCAGGTGTGTGTGTGTCCGTGTGTGTGCGCGCATGTGCATATGGGCACATGCATGCACGCATGTGCACAAATAAACCTGATACACATATATGTGCACAGTAACATTATTCATAATAACCAAAGGTCTATCAACCAATGAAAACAAATAAGGTGTTGCCACATGCTGGAACATTATTGGAAAATAAAAAGGAATGAAGCACCAATTCATGCTATGACATGAGTACAAGTGGAAAACATGATGCCAAGTGAAAAAAGCCAGTTACAAAAGCCACGCACTTTATAGAGTCCCAGCCAGTGTGCAACATCCGGAATAGGGACGAGGATATGCAGGCTTGTGGGGTGATCACTACGGATATTCTTTACAGAGCAATAAAATGTTCTGAAATTAAGACTTTAGAAATCATTTATGCAACCTTGTAAGACATTAAAACTCACTCTAGAGTTTAAGTGGGTGAATTACATAGCATGTGAATACACCCATGTAAAATAGTTAAAAAAAAAACAATTCAAACCCCAGGTTCTCCTTCAAACATCACATTCCTCCTTGATATAGAGTCATACATGTGACTTTGTTATAGTTCTAAGAAGGCCACAAGATACATTTGTGTACCACTAAGAGAAGGGAGTGAACAGAGCTCCAGATGGGGGGGGGGATAACTTTTGTTCCCTGTGCACCCCAAGCTACTGTCCTGACCACCCTCTGGGGTCCCTGTTCCATCCTCACCGTGAAGGAGTAATGCAGGTGGACTCTTACCCTTCACCCTCAAACATCTCAGACATATGAGAGATTTTGTTCAAAATGTGGTTTATGGTGAGAGATGCTGCCATCTAAAGGCTTACTGCAAAAGCATCTACATGACTGAAAAAACAGCCAACTCCCAGCCAGTGATCTTAAACATACCACCACTTAAAATAGACTGTTACCAAAGAAGCTTCTTTACATCTTTTAGGATGACGTTGTTTCAAACTTTAGGAACCATGATTTTTTAATTGTCTAATTTAAAATTTAATTTAAGCACATGAGTGTCTTCATAATTTATATACCTTGGTCAGATTAGAATTTTTTTTAAGTTAATGAAATGGTTACTGGAGGAGGAAAAACTAGGCTCACAGTTATATGGGGAATGTAGGCTATCCTCTTAGCATCCAGGCTTTAACACACACATAAATGTGCATGGGAGGTGGGGCTGGAGAGAGAGCTGAAACATTTGCCATGGAAGAAGAAACTAGGAAGAAGGCTAGAGTAAGGTAGACAGAAGCACAACCACAGCAAACGTGAGAACATATGTTCATTTTTTGTTGCCCACCAACTCCTTAACTTCTTCATGTGGTCTCTTCCATGTAAAAAATGAAAGGAAAGTACAGTTAATTATTACTATTGCTTGATGAAGCTGCTGCCACAGCCAGTAGAGATACCCAGTGCTCCAGACATCCCTGTACTACTCACCTCACCTCTTCAGGGTGTGTTAACAGCAAATCCAGAGAGATATTTCCAGGTTCCAAGCCACCAATCCAATAGGTCCTCTAACAATATTCTCTCTTTTTTTTTTTTTTGGTCGGTCGTGGGCCTTGAACTCTGGGCCTGAACGCTGTCCCTCAGCTCTTCAGCTCAAGGCTAGTGCTCTACCACTTGAGCTACAGCGCCACTTCCTCTAACAATATTCTCTAAGAGTACTTTCTTCAAATTTGAACCTACAGTAGTTAATGTGAATGTCTGGAACATGGAATCTAACATCACCTGGAACCTTCAGAAGGGATCCATATCATCCACTTAATCATCTGGGATGAAGCTGGGGGTTAGGGAGGGGGTGAGTAAGCACTAGCTTTAAGTACTCAGCGCTCTGAGTTAGAATGTTAAAAGCAAACTAAGAAGTCATACAGTCCTAGGCTCAATTATTACACCTCACCCCTCCTGTTCTCCCCCTAATTCAGGTCTTGTTTTTCCCCAAGACATGCAAGTGAACCTCTTGCCACAGGGGAAGATCTATGAGGACAGAAATGAGCCAATATGGCTCCCAGGAACAAAAAAATCATGTCAGATGCAAAAGGAGACCTAGAATATACCAAAGTGAATAAAACTCAGTGGTCACTCAAAACTAAACATTTACATGGAACAAGCCATTCATTTCTAAATAACTTGAGATGCAAGGTACAATGCCTCCTATTTTTAGGTCAGGAAACTGAGCTAACTTGCTCAAGGCTCACACATGGCACAGCAGGAAGGAATTCCAAAGCCCATGAACTGAATCACCACCTGACACACCACCATGAAATCTAGATGAAACCTACAATTCCAGAACATTAGGACATTGGACAGAATCTACCATCACCATTTGTCCACAGACCTCAGCTGTACAGGCAACCTATCTTTTATTTTTCTGATCTTCCCTCTTACTAGGAGTTGAAATGTTATGAAGTAAACATTAACAACTGTTCTCCAACATGATCCTTTTATTTAAATTCTTTTCAGGAATAGCTGAACCTCAAACACTGTAAAAGAAAATAAATTTATAGCTAAAGAGTTTTATTCTTCCACCTCAATTGCTCATTAGAGAATTTGTGTGCACTTTCTATTAAGCAGAGCAGATGCACACTCATTCACCTCTGTTCCCTTCTGAAAGGCCATTAAGTTGCTGAAAAGGGATTAACGAGAGACATGAGGGGGAAAGGAGACAACCACAGGCAAGACTTCTGAAAGTAGGAATCAGACTGCTAAGGAGCAGAGGACAAAGCAGCCAAGAAAGGTGAGTGCTGAGGGGTATGAAGAGGGCTGGCCCTGGCCACAGAGACACCAGACAGCCATGAGGGCCATGGCCAAGGGAGGCCCCAAATGGGAGGGTGGGCTAACAATTTACATAAAGAAGAGCTAGAGACCCTCCCACCCCTATACCTGAATTTCCTGCCAAGACAAGTAGTCCTTCCCTCATTGTGGAGGTTGAGTTTATTGTATGGGAAAGCTGGAGTCTAAGACCATGAAGATTCAAGATGTAAAATGAAAGCCTGGAGTAATCATACAGTTAGGGACTGCCCCCACCAAAATAGTAGACTCCTGACAATAGCACAGCCTGGCTGCTAGACACAGTAAATTATACGAACAAGGAACCAAGGATCCCCAGACAGACCCTCTACCAAAGAAAGACCTTTCCCTGAAAGTGATTAATCAGGCTCAAAAAAAATCAGAGAAAACAAAATGGGACAGACTCAAAAGACAGCCATATTGCATCCAGTACACAGAGCTTACTATGTTAAGGATCATTCACAGTCTGGGGTGCGGTCAGCTGAGTAGACTGTGGCTGTAGAGGGACAACTGGAGGCCACCTGAGTTCAGACCTACCACAGTCCCCTGGCCACCCATCATATATGCCTACATGCTACCAGAGTGGCAATCATCTCTGTGCTACCCACATGAAAAACTCCTGTAAAAGCAGCAGATTTGTCAACTGAGATCAAAACTGAAAACGTATCTCCTTTCACCCCACCCCACTCCACCCCACTTTTAGTTGAAGAAAACTATCGCCTAGCAGCTTTTCCATGCCCAGCTTTGTATTTATAAAAATACTTTACATCCCCAAGCATAAGCTACTTTCAAGCAAAATAAAGTTCTTCTTTTACACAAACCAAGAGCAATATGGTTAACCCTCCCAAAATAACCACAATGGAATCTCACAGAGTAACTGCCCAGATTCCTTGTAATACTGATATGAATTCTGTTTTAAAGAAGAGGCTCTGAAAACCAAGACCAGTCTGCCATCCATACTTGACAATTGAACCTATGTGTTTCCTCGGCCAGGTACCTTTCCTCCTGATGGGTCCTGGGCAGCTAACCCACAGTGGCAGTATCAAGCAGCTTTCCCATGCTTGGGGTTCCTTGGTCTGATGCCATGTGGATTCTGACCATCGAGATATGGAAGAAGACCTCAAACCATACTTTGATAGGCAAGGTAAGACCTCTAACGACCACCACTGACCACTCCCTGCTGTCAGGTCAAAGTAGG